GGGTACAACTGGCACACAACATGAAGTTCTGGAAGGCTCTTCTAGACAGGACAATCACCTGTTCTTTGAGCAGGAGTCACAAGTCTAGGAGAAGCTCTAGATTATGTTCCAGGTCTATCTGGGGTAATCTTCTGCTCAGTGTAAAACCTAGTATGGCATTTCTGACAAATGGTCTCCAGTCTCATTGCAATAGCCAACTGGGAAGTAATTAAGATTAATTTCTTGTTATCATTTAAACTCTGTGCTCCTGTTAAAGATCTACAGACTTATTAAACATCTCTTTTATTTCCTCATTCAAACCACTGACAAAAATGTTGAATAGTGGAGCATCTAGAACAGAACCTGGGGCGCTCTACCTCATTCTTTCTTCCATGCTGAAATCGAATCATTAATGAATCCTTTTGGGTGTGGTTATTCAGCCAATTCTGAATCCAACTGTATCATACAGCCAATATGTTACCAATTATGAAGGGGAATATCATGAGACACTGTTGAAATCATTGTTGAGGTACCCTGTTTCTTTAACATTCCCATGCCCCTTTGTTGGTCACTCTATGAAAGAGAGAAATAAACTTACTCTGGCACAATTTGTGACAAATTCATTCCTGTTTCTGTTAATTGCAGCATGATTATCAATAATCTGTTTGAAGATCTTTCCCATTATAAACACAGTACTGATAGGCCTAAAAGATATTGTTTGCTGAATTGTCCTTCTTCTTTTTGAATATAGAGATGGCAAATGCGCTTATCCAGTCTTTTAGAATTTCAGGAGCTCTCAAAGACCATTCAGAAGGCTGCTAAAATCAACAGGTTATAATCTATCTGGCCCCAGAGACATGAATTCATATAAATTAGCTACATTCTCTGTTACTATCTCCTTGGCTATTCTCAGCTGTCGTTCCCTCATTCGCCTAGTGATATAACAATAAGTAGGCAAGGCACCATTTTTCTTCAGTACCACCCATTACTAATTCTCCCATTTTTACATGATTTGACTTGTATTTTCTTGTCTTTCCCTTTTCCCCCATTGTCCCACCCTTTTTGTTTGTTTGTTTTTGATATTTCTTGCAATCCTCATTCTTAATACCTTCTTAATTCAATTTCTCTTACAGAGTTCCTATAGTTTCTGGAGGTTACATTGTATTCTTCTTTGGTTATATTCTGTTCTCCAGGTTTCCTTGGTAACTCTAAGCAACGGTCTTTCAAGTCACTCAATAATTTAAAATTTTAAAAAGCTTGTTCCCAGGTCTCAGTGTTCTAGATCCAAAGAACAAGCATTTGGTCATTTATTTTAGTTCTGTATATTTAGCAGTCCTTGGAGATACAGCCAAGAAATCCCATTCCAAGTATACACTTTGTGTACTGGACACAAAATTTCTGGCTAGCAGGACTGTGTTAGCTTTTAATTGTACTTTCTTAAATTGGTCAGTTAATAAGCAAGCAGATTTTACAAAATAATTGTAATATTGCTTATTACTACAAGTATTAGCCTTATAATACTAATTCATCATTCTTATTTCATATGTAGAAGCATATTTAGAATACAAAGAATATGGTTATTGAATTCTATATACATTTAATAAAAAATGTATAACTGTATATATTTAGTAAAAAACATCTGGGAAGCCACATCCTGCGTTTATATACTTGATAAAAGTCCCAGATAGGGTTTGCCTTGAGAAAGGCATTTCAATGTGTGACCTTAAAAGCTGACATTCTCTTTGATATTACTTATAACCAGATATTATAAGCATAGATTGGTATAAAAATGATAGAAAGCTTTCTTTTTAACTGCCTTTAAATCAATCAATTGATATTACACTTTTTCAGCTTAAGAAAGGGACTTCCATCCTATTGGATTCATGTTATTAGGCTTTCACCCCAAACTCTTAGTTAAACGGACTCCATTAAAATTGCAAAATGAAGTTCTTCCTGTAATATGGTAAAGTTGGGGAGAGGGGGAGGAAATGTGTTGAGTTGCTTTGATCAGATTTTGGAATAATTTTACTGGATTACTATTGTACTCAAAACATAATTTATAGTAGCTGACATAAGCTGCTCTTTGTATAAGAGTCGTATATATAACAATCACAGGAAAATAAAAAAATGCAAGAGGAACTAAATCTGCTTTATTTATTATTTAGTTCATAAATGTATCTTATTTAATCTTTTGAATCCTGGCATGCTCTTAATAGTAAATGTTCAAATACTATTTAGTATACCCAGGAGAAAAAGCTTTGAATAATTCCTGTGACCTGTGACTTTTTGGGTAAAATGTGACCTTTCCATAACCCAAATAGTCTATTTTATGCAGACTGGACTATATAGAACATATTCTATTATCTAGTACTAAGTCTGCCAAGTACTGTCTGAGTGATGCATTTTCTGTCTGGAAAGCAATTTTGGTCTTGTATAATTTTAAAAATTCAAAAATTAATATTAGTCTATTTACTATTTAATGTCAACTTATGGGCACATCAACTGGAAATGAAAATTAGTATATAAATGATGGGAAGTGTAAAATTCTAAGTAAAATACTATTTGTCAGCTTAAAATTGATTGATTTCCAAGTCTAGTCTTTCCAATCTGATACCTTCTAGGTAGCCTGGAATCTTATCTCCCAGGATTGTCCTAACTCTGTTTTGTTTTGTTTAGCACATTGTTTGAATCCAACCTTTGCAACTTGTGAATTTCTGTTTATAGTTGTGTATGTCAGTTAAAACTATAGTGAAATATATTGTGTAATTGGGCAGACCATTACTAGAACATGCAGAATTTAATTCAATAGTCTTTATGACTATTATGTTTTATTCTATTTTAAAAAATTCCAAAAGAGTCTATATAAAGTCAAAAAATAAGAATTATTTTAAACTCATCATGCTATGTATATACCAAATTATGGGCATCTCATTTTATTTATCTTTCCTGAAAATAAAATTAATATTAAATCCCCAAACATCCCACAAGATTAGATTAGGCTTGAGGAGGATTTTCAACATATTGAATATACATTTAATTTCACTTATTTTAGTGTGGAGGAGAGCATAAAAGAAACACTAGATTATCGTGTAAACTGCTGTTGCAGCTTCCTCAAAACACAATGCAGTTGTACCACTTCAGGCAAATCCAATTTTATCTTTAAAGCCTTTTCAGTGTTCTGTTAGGACAATGCTGCAAGACTATTTCAATCTTTCCCCAGTTGCCTGCCATTAAAACAACCCAAATGTTGCTTTCTTTGCTTCATCAATAAGTTACACACTGCAGATTTCTTCTGTCATTTTTAAGTACCAGCAAATCAAGCAGCCCATTGCATCGTGTTGAATACAAATAACTTGCTGACTTACAGCTGTATGAAATAAGGCTTTGATGAAAAGTTTGATCTTCCAAAGAAATGGCAAAAATCACAGGGTCATCTCTGCCAAGTAGCCAAGATATAGTGGGGTAGTATTGCTGGGTGGGAAAGAGGCTGTTTATTTTAATAAAAGACAGAGAAGGATTATTTCTTTTTTTTTAAAGCAAAAATATTTATTTGAAAGAATTGGTGTCTGGAAAAACTCAGTAACTCGCAGCTAGGCACAGTGATCTAATGGATATATAAAGGCATGAAGTATTTAACAAAACATATTTAACAAAATGGATATATAAAGGCATGAAGTATTTAACATATTTAATAAAACATTATGGCATGGTTGCCATAATGCTCTCAGACATCTCTGGAATTTACCAAGTTTTCTGGGTGGGTTTTTTTTTTTTTTTAGAAAGTGAGTTTTTGCAAATAGGATTTCTTAAAAAGAAAATATTAGAATATAATCATAAGAGACATGCTAGGTAGTTGGACATGAGCTAAAGTGAAGTGGTAGCCTTTAATTCCCCCTTTTCCCTCTAAACATTCTGGATTCCATATTGGCATGCACATGTTTGGACAAATGGGAAAAATGTGTATGAAAAAGAAAGGATGTAAGAAAAGTGATTCCAGATGAAACAGATATTTGGGAAGATGCTCCTTGAATAAGCTTGTGGGAGAGGGAAGGAAAGACAGAAGGAAAAAGATAGAAAAAAGGAAGTGAACGAGCAAGCAAGAGAAATTCGGGATTCAGAATCTCACTTCTTTCTAGATTCAAATTCAAATTGTTGAGTAAGTTATATTGTGGCCTCATTAGTTTATCTTCTATGAAATGGATATCTTCTGTTGCATATAGGTTACATGGCATATTAGGAATCAGTACTGTTTCTCTAATATTTTACTTGAATTCTATTATATGTCACTAGCAGAAAAGCTGAATCTAATATGTGTATCAGAGATACGAATACATGACCTAGAATGTATACCAATATAGACATTAAAATAAATTTCACATAGAATTCCTGATAGGAATGAATGAATACTTCTGCTTCACGTAATACTGAACCCCATCATCAAAGGATTTTAATGAAAAATGGCCTGAAAACTCATTAAATTGGAAACCTCTCCTTTGAAGCAGCTATAAAATGTAATACTGGTCTGCTAATCTCTGCTATATGAGCCAACTAGCTAATTTTGAGTATATGTCCTTTTTTTGCTATAATTTTCTATGCTTAGGAACATGACCTTTAATATGTGGATCAAAAATATGAGGTCCAGAGCTCTGCTTTCTAGGCCATGTCCACAATATGTTGTCTAAAGAAATTTGTTGTTGTTAGTTGCGAAGTCGTGTCTGACCCATCGCGACCCCATGGACAACGTTCCTCCAGGCCTTCCTGTCCTCTACCATCTTCTGGAGTCCATTTAAGCTCATGCCTACTGTTTCAGTGACTCCATCCAGCCACCTCATTCTCTGTCGTCCCGTTCTTCTATTGCTCTCAATCTTTCCCAGCATTATGCTCTTCTCCAATGAGTCTATCCTTCTCATTAGGTGGCCAAAGTACTTGAGTTTCAACTTCAGGATCTGGCCTTCTAAAGAGCAGTTAATTTTGTTTTAAAAATATCTTTGCAAAACAGATGATCAGGATAAGACCAAGGCTCAAACAATGGCTCACTTTATTTTGCTTTAAAACAATGTCCATTACATCTTCTACAATCCATAAACATGCCCATGTTTTAATTCAAGAAATGATATGCAAAACTTTTTGTTTAAAGATAAAGCATTTCTACAGTTTTATGTTTTCAGTTTCAACACTATATACTAGTAATTAAAATTATTATAGAAGTGCCAACTGTCTTGCGAAGCCAAGAAAGCACCAATGGGTGACTTGTTTTTCTACCCAGTTTTGGCCCTGGGAAAATGGAGATTGACATTAATTACCTCTGCATTAGCAAGATTTTTAACATTTGGGGGGGGGGAGAGATTTTGGGACTGAAGATATTTTCTGTTTTTAAGGTGATTCTGCTACAGGGAGGAAAACTGAAAACCACACCTTTTGACCTCTACATTTCTTCTTTTGTTGAAAGTGCAAAGAGAAGCCATCCGGAAGGAAGAAAGATTACAGCTATCTATAAATTGTTTGACAGAGGCAGAAATGCTGATAATGTTTGGGCTGTGTCGGTATTTTTTTGGCTGCTTGCATTAGCAGGGGGTTGAAGTAAAACAGAGACTCTTGAAGTGTTTGTCTAAAGAGGTGGTAGGGCGATCCCAGCCAGTAAAGAGTTCAGATGAAGTTCAGGACAGATGTTGCCAGTAGTTTATATTTCAGGAAAATAAAATTGCTTCCGGATTTGCCTTTTCCACCTTCATGGCTGAGCCTCATAGCTGCCTCAAAGGACAGCAATATCAGTAGGGAAACAATCTTTGAGCAAGATACCCCGGTTGCGATGACAGTCTAGTTCCTCGATAAATCCATACCAATAGATTACTAATCCGGGACCAAATCTATATTGAAACAAAAAAACCCAGATATTATTATATAGAACAGCCATCACGTATATATCATCTGCAAAACTTCAGAAATTATAAATTTTAGGGACACAGAAAAATAGTGAAATACTTTACAGAGATATGAGTATTAAACCCTCAGTCTACATTTGGAAGGACAATCTGTAATCTCCATTTTTTGTCTTTTCATTGTTAGTCAGAGATAACAATGATAGATTAATAAGAATCTTAAACATATTTAATCACTTATTACAGAAAGCTCATTTGTTTAACCTAACAGTTCGTGCTTAAAAAAATGGAGTTCCAAAAAGATTGTTTGCTCTTTAACACACACATTGAAAGTTAACCGGCAAATAATCAAGGCAAATAATCACTTATTTTATGTGTCTTCTTATTGTGGGCAAGCAAGCGATCCAGAAGTTTGGGTGTCCAAAATGGAGGTTTTTAAAAAGAGTTGGGCAACCATTTATTTGAAATGGTATAGGGTTTCCTGCCTGAGCAGGGGGTTGGACTAGACTTCCAAGATCCCTTCCAACTCTGTTATTCTGTTATTCCTTACATGCCCATGATGAGGATTAGGCCCCCATGTGTAATGTGCACAGCTAGATGTTTTGTAATGTGTACAGTTAGATGGTTTGTAATGTGTACAGCTGGATGTTTCACCTTTTTCCTATTGAGAGCATTTAATTAGAGGGAAGCCATACTTTTGGCGTAGTGTTGCAAGAATTTTATAGCGAAATCATAAATTATGGATGCTCTGTTTGTAAAAGGATGTCTAAAAGGAGAGCAGCTTTCTGTAATCTAATGTCATGGCAGGGTGTACGACTTGAAGCCAAACAGTTTTTTTTTCATTTTGAGATTTATTGTATAGCTTAGGTAAGCTGCCAAGAACAGCAACAGTATATGAGGAGCTGTAAGAGATCATATATACAAGTTCAATGCTATGTCATGTAATAGTCTGTACCCAATGCTATAGTCAGGCAGTAAGTAGCCTGCTTTTGTTAATTTGTTTTAACTATAATGGAAATGTCTCAAGAGTGCAACAGTCATTAGATTGATAATGTAACCATCAAAACTTTGGGCAACATCAGACATTGTTATTTCAACGAGAACGAACTTGCCCCATGTGCAGAATGACAAGCGAACAAGTATTTCAAAAAGGATAAAACCTAGTTGCTTCCTTTATTGTTTTGATTGGACCTTTTGCTACCCCAGTGTTTAATTTAGCCATTTGACGATTCACAGATATTACTTTCTAATGTTTTCAGCAGCAGTTGCTTGTGCTCGGTGCTGACATCACATCTTTCATTCAAAAAAAAAAAAAAAAAAACCTCAGGTGTTTTAGAAAGACAGGTGCTAAATAAAGACTAGCCTTGTAGATTTAGCTGTACTAAATAATTCTTTCTAAATGTTCACTGGCAGTAAGGCCAGATTACAGTTGTCTTCAGTCAATTTGTGTCAAGGAGAAGTCAAGAGTGGCTTCTCCTCTATTTATTCTTTGAGAGTTTCAACTGGAGGGAATGGGACAACTCGCCATGGCCAACTCAGTGGCCAATTCGCTGTGGGACAACTTGCTGTGGGATAATATAACAATTCTACTTAATTATTTAAAATAAATAAAAAATATTTTAATTTTTGCCATTTACATTTCATTCTGTCCCTCCTTTTGCATTCTTTCTTTAAGGATTCTGTTCCACCATTCCTTTGATATTAGTGTAACTGTTGTTCCACAGTGAGTTGTCCTATGGGGAGATGGCCATGGCGAGTTGTCCTGCAGTGAGTTGGCCATGGCAAGTTGGCTGTGGCGAGTTGGCCGTGTTGAGCTGGCCATGGCAAGTTAGCTGCAGCGACTTGTCATAAACCCCTCCACTGGATTGTAGTCTATTGCCGCACAACAAAATAGGAATGTCCATAAAGATTTTGGCTATGTTTTGATTTTGCAAAAACAGCTGAACATGGCTTTGTGTGGAAAAAAACTGCACAATTACCGGCTTGCTGCATTAAGATTGCTACCATATTTCAGTTTTAGAAAAAAATGGATGCTCTAAAAATTGGCTGTATATGAAATATACAAAGTGTGTGGTATGCAAATTTTACTTTGGCTTTACTATAGCAATAAGTGAATGAGTTATTAAATTAGTTATGGTTCTTTTGCTTACTCTCATCAAAATTAACTAGGTCTGGAATTATTTAAAAACCACAAGCTTGCCTTCTAAATCAGTCTTACTATATTAAATACAAATCTCTATTACCCAACATTTGGATATATTATGTGGAGATCCAGTTTTCTGGAGATATTTATAATGCTGGGAAAGATGGAAAGTAAGAGAAAAAAAAAGACGACAATTAAGCAGCAAGGTGGATGAAATTTGGTACATCATCAATGCATGCATTGTTGGAAGACTTAGAGGACCAAGTTGGAACCAGATCATCCATAAGAAAATCTATGTGGTTATTGATAGACATAATAAAACAATCAATTATTGAGCAGATATCTGCTATAGGAAATATACCCCAACTCCATTGATATAGCAAATCAGTGTTAGGTACATTACAAAACTTTCTCTGTCAGTACATCAGTGCTTATTATATAAAATCAAAAGTCTCTGCCACATGCATGATTTTAATTTTCTCTTTCCTATCAAGATATTTATCAAAAGAGATTTCCAATGAAAGGAAACAGAAGAGAGACACACAGAGAAATAGACAAGACATATAGATAGACACACATATACAAAAAGAGAGAGAATTATCCTAAACCAATCTAATCCTTGGATATTGTGTTTTAGCATCTTAAGTCAGTGGTTTTCAAGTTATAGCTCGTTGACCACTCTCCCTAATTTGGAGGCAGATTGGAAAAGCCGATCATCCATTTGAAATTAAAATGGAGAAACATTATGACCAATCTCCCTAAAAGGCTTCCTGCTCCTGCACTTGCTCCATCCTGAAATAACTGGGATTGGACTCCCAATCCTGGTTATTTGGACATAATTCAAAATGGAAAAGATATCTGGAAAATCCACTTATGTGGCAATTGTCTGCTTATAGAAAGATGGGAATATCAGAGTATCTCAGTGGAGATTGTAATGGCATAACATACTTGAAGGGATTGTGGATGGGATCAGTGGGTCATAAAAACATTAAACCTGATTATCTTAGTTTTATTTGGGGGGGGGAAGTGTCTTCCTCAGTCACCCCTGTTGTGAGTTGATATGTGATGAGGAACATGTTCCTGGAATGGAGGATGCACTCATCAGGCAGACACAAATAATGGCAAATGTTAAATTTCTATGAAAAATCAGAACTTGCAATACTGAGATTTTTCCAGATTTTCTCTCTCTTTGCCTTCAGTGTTCCTGACTGCATGACTGACCAGTGATGTAGACTGGCCAATACAATCTTTGTGTAAAGGCTCAGGCAACATCAGATATTTCCAAGTGTTAATAAATGGGCAACTGCATTTCAAAAGGTTAGATTTTTTTGACCCAACTAATCAATCTGCGAACTATTAAAAAAGAAATATGAGGAGTTTGTGGTACTGTTATATTACGGAGAGCAGAAAACTTTTGATAGCCAGATATTTAAAGTTCTTTGGGAAGCATGGCCCAAATTCATGGGAAAATGATAAAAGTGACTACAGCTACAAAACTTACACATGCAAGGTCAAGGTTTCCTGTTTCCCCTTTGGAGAGTGGAGAGGACAGGAGATTTTAATTGTCTTCTTTGGAAAAAGAAATTTAGGACTTACACTCAAGTTTTCATGGATTTCCTAATCAAAAGGATAGTGTGCTGTGTTCCAAATTTTTAGCAATTGTTGTAAGCTCTGGGAGTGTATGAAACCTTGAGATCTCTAACTACCTTTTCCTGCTCCATTATACTGTGAGAGAAATCAAAGACTCAGTGACTTTGAGGTGTATGATCTATTCTCCCAGTGTAACAGATTATGTCAAGGCTGTATAAAAACAGAGCTATGCAAAACCTCAAAGGGGTGCTTTGCTTTGAGCATCATGAAACACTAATGTACTTATTAATTTTAAAGGCTTCAGTGCAAGCAAACTGTGCAAAAATATCCATTTTGAGAACTTCTTTCCTTCATTCACAAAAGAACTTCTGCTAGCATTTCTGGTGTGAAGTGGAACCGCCAAGTCAGAGCTGCTTGCTTTTAGAATTGAGTCAGTGCCCTGAATTTAATCAGTCCATTGACAGAGTGTTGTGGTCAATTTGGAAACTAAATTGTTTAAAACTTTTGACATGCTTACAATAGGAAGAGTCTAAGATCCAAGTCTGTTCTCATAACCAGAATTACAGTTTCTTAATAGGGCTGAAACTGGTTATTAGATCAATTGTAGTTCTGTCTTTTAGTCAGTGACATTACTAAAGTACTACACAGTTTGCTTCTCTTTATAAGATAGAAAATAAAACAGGACAGAATAGACTTCTTTATTCTATTGGACACACAACAAACTGGACACACAAGGATAGATAGATAGATAGATAGATAGATAGATAGATAGATAGATAGATAGATAGATAAATGCTTTTGAAAGTGCATGTGCACGCATACCCACACATTTTTACAAATTAAAATTAGTACATGTGCCACATGAATACAACTCCTATTCTAATTCATTGTTCAAAAAGACTTAAGTGAAGTACTTAAAACTAAAATTAACTTGTTGGCACATTTAGCATTTGGCACTGAGTATCAGGAACTCCTGCTGCTAAGCATTAATTTCTCTCTCATTAGCTCACAGAGTCGGAAAATCACAAACAATGCCAGTAGTTAATTATTACTGCTTTAATTTGAGAAGTCATTTAACCTTTTTCTCCCTTTTGTGTCAACGGGAAGCAGTAAAGAGGTCAAAGATAGAAGAAAGAACCTCCCTTCCAAATTTGAGTCTCAGCCCCATTTTTCATAGATGCATAGATGTGATATGTGAAGAATCCAACTCAGGATCCAAATTACAGAGTAAGTGCTGAAAACTTATTTATAGATT